TGACTTGTCATTTTGAAAACTAATTGAAGGTGAGATATATATGGGTTGTCTGTGTATTGTTTTGGGTTAGAAATTGGCTTATGTCTATATTCCAAGATTCCTATTGCGGATTGCTTGTTTCTATTCCATATTTGGTTGGATCTAACTGAAGGGTTTTTTGCGGTGTGGTTTATCAACTAACAATGTATTTGGCTTCGTATTCATTTGTTATGACTTGTTTCGGTAAATTAGTATTATATTTCGAGTAAAATACGAATTTTGTCCATGTAGGTTTGCAAAATTACATCCCAGCACATGCATTTTGTATATAATCCAAGTGTCAGTTAATTTTGGGTGTTACTTGGAGAAAGAAACCCAACGAACTCGTTACTTATCTCCATGCCGATTGGTATATGAATTACAAGTTACGAACAGGAGTTGTGAAATTATTTCATGTTAACTATGAAAGTGATGGGTTTATTGTTAGTAAAATTATGGTGGGCCTATATCGACAGCAACGAAGCAGTAATTTAAAGTTGACAAGTTAAAGAAGAAAATCAAGCAATTATGGTATTAGTTCGAATGCCTGAAAAGGATGAAGACTTCTTTCAATAAACTGATGGTAACAAAGTAGAAAGTAACAAAGTACAAAGTACAAAGTAGAAAGTAAGTTGTTGTCTTGTTTGTAACAAAGTAGAAAGTAGAAGGGAAGAAACTACTCAGAAGTTACAATGTAGAAAGTAGATTGTTGTGTTGTTGTTCATGTCCTCTCTCTCTGCAAACATTCTGCCCTTTATAGCTATTATTTCCCACGACCCCATGATCTGCCGATTCTGCAATTGCTTTTGTGCAACTTCTGTAACTGCACGGTCATTTTCGTATCTTGAAACCACATAAAACCTTCACTTGTACCTGTCGAAGTGCACATAATGGAAGTTGCCACCTGTGCCCAAGTCCTTTTAGCCTTTTCTCGACAGATACACAGATTCCCAATTCGTTCATGTTTCCTCTTAGAGGCTGGCCACTAAATCAATGAGCACTGCCAGTAACTGTTCCACTGTGTAAGTCAGGTGGCATGCAAGATTCAATGTTAGTTGATAACCCTTGTCTTCAGGTGGACTTGCCATGTGTCCTCAATTGAATGGGTCAGCTGTTGGCAGGATGTGGGAAAAATAGGTGCAAAGAGGAATTTTTTAAAAATAACCAATCATAATTTAGCTGAAAATATGAGTGAACTTTTTTTTAAAAAAATTAGTTTCCATTGTTATGATTATAAACCTGAGATGTATATTTTGTTTTCGATATAAATAAGTTGTGTATTTTGCTTACGTAAAATGTAGGACAACAATTGTGTTTAAGTCATTACAATCCAGAAAAATGTTATTTCAAATATTAACAAGTTTACCAACATTGAATATATTTTGATTAAATTACAGGGAAAATTCAATATTTGGCAGAGTTTGATGATTGAAAGTCAGGGGCAGTAAGAGTGAGTGGCCAAGTGTTGTGGTTCAGTGGCCTCGTTTGCAAGGATTGTGGTTGTGTTTAGTGGACAATATTCTGTCGATTTTTGTCTCATAATGATGAGGGGCATTCCCCCACAATGGTGAAAAGGAAGGTTGATAGAAAAGAGTCAATATTTGGCAGAGGAGACTTGAAGATTCGAAGTCAGGGGGCAGTTACAGTGGCAGTTATGGTGTAGACGTGTGGGATCATGCAATGATGGGCCACAAAAACAGTATACGGATATCGAAACCAACGATCTCCCTTCTAGGCTTTCCAAGTATACTAAACGTCCACTTCTATCTGTCGATCTCCCTTTTCTTGTGTTTATTTCATGGCCACCAACTGGTTGAAACTTCTGTTGATAGAGCAACGCTCCTGCTTTGTCTCATGCTTCCTCCTGAAAGTGTGCCCACTAACTCCATGACTGGTGCTAAAAACTTCCCCCATCACTTCTAGGTGACCCATATGTAGAGAGCCCACTTTTAACTGGTGGACATTCCTTCAGACTTGGCCACGTGTCCACAATTAAGTGGACCATCTGTCGATAGAGACTGGCAAAACTTGGTGCAAACAATGGCCCCCTTGTTCAAATTAAATAACATATAAATTAACCTTGCGAAAGTGATTGAGACCCCCTCCAATCACCACCTGCACCACCACCCCAACCCCACATCACCCCCCCAGAAAATTCAATATTTGGTAGAGTTCGATGATTCAAAGTCAGGGGCAGTAACAGTGAGTGGCCAAGTGTTGTGGTTCAGTGGCCTAGTTTGCAAGGATTGTGGTTGTGTTTAGTGCACAATAATCTGTCGATTTTTCTCTCATAATGATGAGGGACATGCCCCACAATGGTGAAAAGGAAGATCGATAGGGAAGAGTCAATATTTGGCAAAGGAGACTTGAAGATTCGAAGTCAGGGGGCAGTTACAGTGGCAGTTATGGTGTAGACGTGTGGGATCATGCAATGATGGGCCACAAAAATAGTATACGAATATCGAAACCAACGATCTCCCTTCTAGGCTTTCTAAGTATACTAAACCTCCACTTCTATTTGACGATCCCCTTTTTTCTGTTGTTTATTTCATGGCCACCAACTGTTTGAAACTTCTGTCGACAGAGCAAGGCTCCTGCTTTGTCTTATGCTTCCTCCTGAAAGTGTGCCCACTAACTCCATGACTGGTGCTAACAACTTCCCCCATCACTTCTAGGTGACCCACGTGCAGAGAGCCCACTTTCAACTGGTGGATATTCCTTCAGACTTCGCCATGTGTCCTCGATTAAGTGGACCATCTGTCGACAGAGACTGCCAAAACTTGGTGCAAACAATGGCCCCCTTGTTCAAGTTAAATATCATATGAATTAACCTTGCGGAAGTGATTGAGACCCCCTTCAATTACCACCTGCACCACCACCCCTCCCCCCCCCACACATACACACGTAGGGGCTGGTGTTTGGAGGTGAAGGAAAAAAATAAAAATAAAAATAAAAACTGGCCAATCAGAGAGAGGGGGGTCATGGGGGTGCCCCCTTGTGGGGGTCCAAGTCATATGATATTTAACTTCAACAAGGGGGCCATTGTTTGGGCCCAATAACAAATTTGTTAATACGAGCCCAAAACAAAAAAAATACTACAGCCCAATATAAGAGCATTTAAATATACTGGCCCCATCATAAGCTATAAAATACCCACCTTTTTAACTTCAAACCATGTCATTTCCCTCTGATTCGAACTCCTCAAACTGTACTCCTTCTTCTCAAGCATCGCCGGTCAAAACCACAGAACCACCAAACCCTAAGCCATGGCACTGAAAGAATCTCAACCATCTCCATCTGAGGAGAACAATGAAGACCTACTTCGCTTCCCAGACCCTATCAGAGCACGTATCGCTTCTCTAAAATTTGGTGTAACCCTATTGCCCAGCACAAGCTCTGTCGTTAAGGCTACTCTAGGCCCTACCTTCGCGTCTTACTTCCCAAACGAGCTAGTTCCATACTATCCCCTTGGTAATGGTGAGAACCTTCTTCTCAACCAACCTGGACTTAAGTGGACTAACTGGAATGTCAGCAAAAACCCACTCAGATCGTGGAGGTCACCAAACTCTGTTTGGAGAAGCTGGGCCAGGAGAATTGAAGGTCACAACGCTGAAGTATGGAAGCACCAGGGCATTAGTGAAGCAATTAGACTGTCGACTAAAAATTATGACATGGACAAAGGGATGATTACTACTGCTGTATGCTTTTGGTCGCAATCTTGTAACTCCCTACTCCTCAATTTTGGTATGATTCCCCCTACCATCTTAGATGTAGCTCACTTGACTGGTCTCCCAATCTTGGGCAATCCAATTCATGCTCTCCTTCAGCCTCCAAAAGTGACCTTTACTTTAAACACTGACATGTGCTATACAGATTTCGCCAAAACATACAAAGGCGAGCCTGGTTCCCCTGTCCAAGACAAAGAAAGAACTACTTTTTACTTACTTTGGCTTTGTGAGTTTCTTTTTTATGTCCATGGGTACAAGATCACGAAGGAATACCTCCCCCTTGCCTTGTGTATGCAAGATAGCCAACTTATGGCTTTAGCTCCTTATCTTCTTGCCACTCTTTACAAGGCCCTATTTTCCTTTGTCGACAAGAAGATTTTTGGCAACTGTGGTGGCCCCTTCTGGCTCTTCCAGGCCTGGTTGTATGCCTATTTCCATGAGGCACGACCCCCACCAGCTAACACCTTGAAACTAGTTTTCCACTCCTATGCTGAGCAATTGCTCACTTATAACAATCAACCCATCCTCACTTTTAGAAATCATCTTTCCATGTTTTACAACCTTCCTTCGAAGAGACCTTCCAACTTGTACATGCCATTTCAAAACTTTCAATTCTCCTCCAGTAGACTTTGCTTCCTCTTCATAGACCCTTCTGATTTACACAACGAGCAAGTCCAAGAACAAAATGAGACTTTGAGACACATTCTCACCTCTAGACATGTCTTGGTTAGCTGTTCCATATCCTCCGCTAAGATGTCCAACTGTAGTTTTGAGACATACTATCCCAATCAATGGTCCAGGCAATTAGGTCTTTCCCAGGGTATCCCTTACCCTTATTTCCACCCAACCATCCATGAGGAGATTGGGTCCAGAATCTAATTCAAAGATCCTATGCAAGCTGAATCCATTCTGACAAAGAACACCAAACTTTTCCAAGATTTTGGCCCCTTCTTCTTCAAACCTGCTTCGGACTGCTCCACTGCTTTTGACCATTGGTGGGGACTTATGACTGCCATTATTTTCTGCAAGCCACTTAAAACCTGCCTTCACGATACTTGTATTCATAATCAGGACCCCATATCCTCGCCTTCCAAGCTTAAGGCTACAAATATCCTTCCTTCATATACTTCATATCCCTGACTGTGTCATGCATTTTTTTTTTCTCTACAACACTAACTTGTTTGACCTTTGACAACCAAAATTGGGCCTGCTGCTAAACCATTGGTTAGGGACTAATATAAAGGCAAGGCTCCAATGGATCCAACTACTCAGACAAACACCCCCTCAGTTCTGAAATTAATGGCAGACTCTTTCGCAACCTCGCAGACACAAGCACAGAGAGGAACTACCACCCGTACCCCTGCCGTGACAGAGGTCACGGCGAAGAAGAGAGAAGAGCCTTCCACTACTCCTGCTCTAAGTACAGACCTAAGTGATTGGGATATCCCTATCAGCCAAATGGTTAGCCAAACAACATCAAATCCTTCAGGGCAGCTCTACTAAGTATGCCTTCACTTTGCATATTTACATCATCTCAATTTCCATTCACGTCCGACTGATCACTTACTTTTGTGCAGAGAAAAAGAATGAGATTACTCCCTACTGCTGCTGATGATGAGGATCCTTCCACTTCTCCTCAACACATTCATCCAATTCCCAGTCCCACCAGCAATGTACCCAGAGAACCCACTGTACAACCAACTCCACCACCACCTGAAGTATCTCAACAAACTTCCTTACAACCTGCTTCACAGTCTTCGTCACAGCAATGTACACAATCTGCATCACAACATCCTTTCACTTCTCCTCAACACATTGATCCAATTCCTAGTCCCATCACCAATGTACCCAAAGAACCCACTGTAGAACCAACTTCGCCACCACCTCAACCATCTCAACAAACTTCCTTACAACCTCCTTCACAATCTTCGCCACAACAATCTACACAATCTGCATCACACAATCCTTCACAGCTAGAACCTCCTCTTATTGCTCTCAAGGATGTCACAGTTGGGGCTGTCCCGATGGAGGTTGATTACCCAGGAGGCACTGAGCCTATTATTGTCCCTTCTGTCTTTAGCCCTCAACCATCACCATCCAACCCCTCCAATTCCCAAACTTCAAACAAAGAATCAGAGAGGATTGATTTTGACATTTCAATCAACAGCCAATCCTCTCCAACAGATGGCAATACAAAATCCCCTCAACCAGAAGTTCACAACAACCAAGGTAAATAGAAATACAAATATGACTGTTCGTTTGAAAAAAATAAAAAATAAAAAAACTTCTCTTTAAGTAACGGGTATTGTTCTCCAATTTACAGGGATGGACATAATACACGACTCATCTCCACGACCAATGTCTGAGAAAGAACTTGAAGGTCCTTATGACTTTCCCCTGTTAGCAGAACCAGAAAAAGAGCCTGAAGGCGCTGATGCTGCTATTTCATCAGTACCCGAAACAACTCCTCCTGCTGCCACAACCATAGCTGAACAAGGCCAACCGTCTGCGCGCACGTTATCAGGACAGGTACTACCATTTCCAACCTCATCCTATTTACTCTTTATTACTTGCAAGCATATATTCTCACCAAACTATTAATGTTCACAGGCTATCGTTCCATGTCAGGATATTTGGGCCGAACTTTCTATTCTTTAACAACAACTAGACGAAATATCCCCATTGCCTCAAAGGCTACATCTCTTTCATGCTGAAACTCAACAAACCTTAACCACCTTTATCAACCTCATTAATACCCCAGTTGAAGAAATCATTCTCCACAAACCTGATGAAACCTTGGCCTGTCTTTCTGCTATTCTAAACCTCTCCCCTAATCCTTTCAACCCTATTCAACTAAAGCAATTAGCCAAGATCATCGCGGAATGGCCAACCCTTTCAGAGATGGTTCAGACTTGCTCGAAGGATATTCAAACCAAAAATGATTTCCTAAACGAAGCCCATACCATATCTACTTCACTCAAACTCAGCCAGAAAACCTCTGCAGCCATTCTTGACCAACACTCAGCACTTGAACTTGAGGAAACCAAACTCCTGGCAGAACTTGCCTCTATCCGGCAAAGAAAGGCTCATCTGCAGCAGCAACATGACCAGCTTAATCAAGAAACAAGGATGATGCTCTCCCAAATTAGACATCGTTCTGCATCAATTCAGACAACTAAAGCTGAGTTGGACCAAGCCCAAGCCATGCTGGCAGATGCTCAATTAGAATGGGGTGTTCTAGCCATTCTCTTCCCCAAATCCTAGACTAGTTTATATATGTATTCTTTTGTATTGCACAGAATGGGTGTTATTGAAAGGTCCTGTTGTAGTTGTTGTTATGTTGTGGAAGAATATTGCCCCACCCAAGGTGAAGTTCTGTAGCTAGTTAGCTTGGAAAGGCAGACTTAAAACTTCATCTTTTTTTAAAAGGATTCGAGTGTTGAAAATGGAAGCTAGCTCTGTGTGTCTGCTGTGTAGAACAGCGGAGGAGGCAATTAACCATCTGCTACTGTCATGTCCGGTGGTATGGAATTTGTGGTCAGATATGGTGAAATTGTGGGATCTGGTTTGGGTATTACCGGGATCAATTGAGGCATTGTTGCATTAGTGGGCTGGTTTTAAATTCAAAAAGATGATCCAACCAATGTGGAAAGTTGTCCCCTTAGTTGTTATGTGGTCAATTTAGAAAGCTAGTAATGATTGTCTTTTTAATGATAAGATTGTTGATAGGCCTAAATTGGCTGAGATGGTGAAACTGAGTGTCGCACTTTGGTGTAAGCAAAGTTATAGAGGCCTACAGTATTCAGTGGATGACATTGTCAATAATCGGGATAGGATCAAAGTCTGATTGAGGGAGTGGTGTTTGGTGTTTTTTGCTGCAAGGGTGCAGGATTTTGGTCAATCTGTGGTACGCTGATGGAAGCAAGGGGAAGTGGGTGTATACCTAGTATTAGCAGATCTTCTTGGTGGCTAATTTTGCTATGATGTGCTTCAATTTTGCTATGCTTTGCATTATTTTTGGGTTGTTGCTCTGCCTTAGTTTATGCTATCAAGCATGCTCATTTCTGGTTGCTGCTCTGTTGTGCTTCAACTCTGCTCTGCTATATATGTACTCTGCTGCTGCTATATGGGATCAAGGAATAGGATTAAGTCTGTTACTGCATATTGGCCTTTTTGCAATTGTTGGAATGATGTTTTGGTGTGCTGTATTGGAGGTCTGCTACTGGATTGGGGAAAATTATTGGAGGTCTGCTGCTGCCCTTGTTGTAATTGTTTTTTTTATTAGTTTTGGAGGTTGAAGGATCAGGCTCAAGTCTAAATGGTGGCTGCTGCTGTGAGGTTTGGATCAGGTCTAATGGATTAGGCTCCTAGCTGGTGTCTACTGTGATCTGTGTGAATTCATACTCAAATGGGGTGATACTTGGTAGTGGCTGCATTGTGCTCTTGGTTTGAAGCCTGACTGTATGGTCTGAAGTTTGTTCATGTTGCTTTGGAGTTTCATCTGGTTGCCCTGTTATGTGTTTTTGTGAGGATGGGCTTGGAGTTACATTCTTATTGTTTTCCTTCTGGTTTTGTTTCTCTTCGTTGGTCTCTCACCAACTAGGAGGTTGGAGCTTTTTCAGCTCCAAGCTCCTCTTTATTGATGTATCATTCACCTTGTATGTGCTTTTACATCAATAAAGTTTTTTCTTTTGCCGATCAAAAAAAAATGAATATCAATACTCTGTTTTTTAATGGTCTGTTGTATGTTTTTTTTTTTTTTGGTGCAATTTTTCTCCGTTTGTGCATTGTTAGGAAGTAATCAACTCCCCTTCAAAGTTTCCCACATGGTTGGTTAATACTTCTTCACATATCTTTCGTTTATATATCTTAAAGGATGTCATACTATAGACACCCCATTTTTGACCGTCCTCAAGACTTAGACGTCACCGTTTGAACACTTGGTGATCATCTTTGTTTGTGTTCGTCTTGAGTTCCTGGAGGCCTCGGCTACGCGCCTTGCCTCAGGATCTCTCGACTCGACCGTTTTGTGTCTGGTTTTGCACCAAACACTTGTGTTTTTGCTTTGGAGGGCAGGGAATGGCTTTTGGGACATCCCCACATTCCACCGGCCATGGCTTGAGGCCACCGACTGTGTTTTGTTACCATCGGCCAAATGTGATGGCCGGCCGGCCAGTTTGACTGCCGGTCGGCCACTTTGATGGCCGGCCGGCCAAGTGTGGTTTTCAATAGATATCTCTGTAGACAGCTGGCAGCTGTCATTCTAGGCCATACCCCAGCCCATACCTGGACGTGGGTGTTCTGAGGAGCTGCAAATTGATATATATCTATATCAATCAAGCACTCTCTCAAAAAAAGAGGAAAAATAATAAGAACAAAGGGAGAAGGAGAGAGGCAACTTAGAGACAACTTTTTTTAGAGCTTGAGCTTTAGGATTAGGGTTTACATATATCCCCCATCTCTATATCTCTCTCTCTCTTGTTTTTTGTGTGTGTTTTAGTCTTACTTTTGTGCACAAACACCCACCATCACACCTTTTCTTAGTGGCTGAGGTACCAGAGGTCTTTCCTTGAAGCTTTTGGACTGGTTTGGAACCAAAAGAGCTGCTGGAACATTGTTCTTGAAGAAGGCCTACAAGGGTAAGACTTTTGTCTCTTTTTACCCCATTTTTGAAAAGCTTTTTAGCCTATCTTGCATCTATTTTTGAGCTTAGCATATAACATAGAAAAGTCTTGTTTTTGAGTGCTCTAAATAGTTTGTTAAGGGTGTTTTAAGCTTTGGGGTTGTTTGACCCCTCTTAAGGCTTGTTTGGCCTTTGCTTTGTGCCATTTTGGTTGAGCTCTGGGACCATTGTGTTTGGGCCTCCTCACCACTGAAGTCTTGAGAGATTTCAGTGATGAGGATGGTGCCTTGAGGTCCTAAGAAGGAGAGGGCCACCCCCTCTCCTTGTTGTCCTTGAAAAGGGC